GTACTCATAGAGAAGTAAAAGACAAAATTTCAACACAAATGCAAATGAAAAAAGAAAATAAAAAAAAAAAAAAAAAAAAGAGAAACTACCCTTCCCTTAAAAAAAAAAAAATTCTTGCCATCGTTTTTGGTTCACTGTCTTTACCTGAAACTCAATGCGGTGATCAAACTGTTCATATCTGGTTAAGAGCTAATAGATGTAGTCTTCTAACAGTAGATTAACTTTTTCAATAACTCATTTTGACCAATTAAATGAGAAGTTGCTCTTTTGGCTCATTCTACACGTTTCAATGGTTTTGCTGTGTTTATTTGTTTGTTTCTTCTTTTTTGGTAAATGCTTCTACTCAAGACACTTGGTGAAATTGCAGGGAAGAATTGTTGCTTCAATGAGTCACGTGTGGAATTTTATCTTGAACAAGAACCTCACGCATCCTCCTCCAAAAACTTGAACCACCTTTTCCAGAGTATGCTTTATTATCTTCAATTGGTAGCCTTTAATGACAATTTTGCTGTGACAGTCCCAAGTATGTGTGGCTGCTGTTTTTAATTTGTGGTACCACTAGCTACCATAATATATTGTTGCTGTTACTTATGAATACCACTACTTGTTAACATCAAAGATTTTCCTCTGACCATGTCTGATAAATTAAATGATCATTGCATTTGCATGATGTCAAGTAGCTAAACTGGCTTTTATTGGGATGGGAGAAGAAATATTGGAAAATAAGTTTGAACTCTGAAGACAACGTTTTGTTTTATGTACATTACCCAGGGGAATTGAATTTGATAATTTGTCTAAATATCAACCTTAATTCTTGTTTGTTTGTTTTTGTGGTCGATGCTTGATACTATTGTTTACCGCTTCATAAATATGATCACCTATTTAGTACTTGGATCCATGCATCAAAATAATGGTTGTTAAAAATAGACTTAAGTATGTTTTTAGTTTCTCAAATTTAAGAGATTTATTTTTATCTCTTAAATTTAAAATTATTATTTTTAGTCTTTATAATTTTAAAAAAATTTGTTTTAGTCTATATCAGGTTACTAATAACATATATGAAAGTGATAAATTAAGACAATTATGCAATATCAGTTAAAAATATCGATAGATAAGTTTTATGCGACAGTATTTGATAAATTTTTAAACAATATTTGAATATAAGGACTAAAATAAATTTTTTTAAAATTACATAGATTAAAAAGATAAGTTTTAAACTTGAAAGAATAAAAATAAATTTATTTTAAATTTAAGGAATTAAAAATATATTTAAGCCATAAAAATATGTTTGTAAGAGTATGATGATTTCCTCAAATGAGGTAGTGTTATTTATAGATTGCAAGATCTGCTATATTTTCTCCTATTTTTGGAAATGTATGTTGCATTACCACCATACGATATATGTTTATGATGTTCATAACATGTTTTATCCTGCCAAAGATCTCATATGTACAAAGATTAATTACTGGCTAGCAACGGCCATCACTTGTTCTTGGCCGGTGATAAGCCAGCAGATGAGTGCACTGAAATTCTTTTCTTTATCTAATATTTGATTTATTATGGTGTCATGTAACCCATGTATTTGACCCTACTGTGGGAAAAGGCTTAGTTGATGTTGTTATCAAATATCTGATAATTTCCAAGAGCATGTCTTTTGAACGTCATTTTAGAAATTTCTGAACTGACATTTCATGTTTGGTTACCTACTTTCACCCCGGCTTTTACATTTTTTTATGGTGCTCTAGAAATCAGTTAATTCATGTGCTATATTATTATTCTTGGTTTTTCTGTCTCTGATGACCTCATTTGTTGACAGTGATCCGCAAAGGTAGCTTCTCCAAGTATGATTATGGAAAGCTAAAAAATCTGATAGAGTACGGCAAGTTCAAACCACCAAAGTTCGACCTTAGCCGCATACCCAAATCATTGCCTCTGTGGATGGCATATGGTGGAAACGACGCTTTAGCAGATGTAACTGATTTACAGCACACACTCAAGGAATTGCCATCCACACCGGAAGTGGTTTATCTCGAAAACTATGGACATATTGACTTCATTTTAAGCTTGCAAGCAAAACAAGATCTTTATGACCCTATGATTAGATTTTTCAAATCATTGGGAAAATTTACTAGTATGTAAAGCTTGCTTCCTTCCGGTATGATAGATGTAATATAATGGTCTATACTAGTATGACTTCATAAATGTTTACGCACGCTGTGAAGTCACAATATTAGTATCACGTGAAGTCCAACTCGATTTTCTGTTTGTAAGTATGATGTCAGATCTATAAAGATTACTATGTTTGTGTAATAAAGCGCCCGCTTTATTATTATTATTTTGACATTTCGGGTGGCCATCAGCACATTGGTTAAAGCTGACAGCATTCATAATAACTACAATAGGTAGGGCTGAAATCATTATTTTTATCACGATAATGCCTCGCGAATATACATGATAATAACTCATGGATATATATATATTCATTATAGTAGTAAATAAAATAAAATAAATAATCTAATTATATTTATTGTCAAACTTAAACAAGATGAAATTAATATCTTCCAAAAATTAGACCCAGTTTGTTTTACTTTTACAGGACTAATTTAATATAAAAAAATTTGAAGGATCAAAAGAGAAATTTAAAAAATTTAGAGGGACTAATTTTTTTTTTCATTTATCAAGTGTATTTTTGTTTTCAACGTAGAATACTATCATTGGCCAAGTTAAAAAAAAAAAAAAAAACAACCTAACATATTATGATTTTAGAAGGACTACTTTATACATAAAAAAATTTATAGGACTAAAAGCGAATTTATAATTTTTTTTAGAAGGATTAAAAGTAACTTTTATCCTAAGTTTTTCTATAAACACTTGTTGAAAAATAAATAAATAAAATAAATAGATTTCTTTTATAAGATAAAAATAATTTTAAATAAGTTTTTTTTTTGAAAAAGTTAAAATCATTTAGCATTTCAAGAAAATCAATTTTATCTTATGGACAAGGTATTTTTAACTTATGGATAAGGTATTTAAACGTAAGATCAAAAAACTGTTAATAAAATTGAATCCTCTATAGTTTACAATTAAACTGTACCAATATAACCGTGCATGAAGTTTTGAAAAATAAAAAGGTTAAGATATCTGCGGCTAAATTTCTAACAGTAAAGAATATAAATGTGACTATTAATATTGACATTCATGGATAACATCACGCGTTCAGAAAAATCAACAACCATTGAACATAGCTAGCTAGGTCGTCCAAATGTCTAATATGCTTTCAAGAGATAGTGTACAGATTATAGAACATTTAATATGCTTTCAAGAGATACAATCTTTATTATTGGAATAGGAGGTAGTTCCCATGCAAACATTTTATTTTGCTTCTGTATTTATCAATGCACGACGCATCTAACCACATTTGATTTTCGTTCCATCCAACTGAACCTCCTCCTTACTTCTACATTTCTGCCTTGGAAAGTGAAAAAATTCTGTTAAACGATATTCAAACGATAAATCAAACACACTTGTTAATTTATCTATTCCACAACGTAGATATGACATATACGAAAGTACTTTTTTTCATCGAGGAACAATATGGTCCCCTTATAGTTATATCTCGTGGCCAATAACAACTCCACGTTCTTTAATATCTTTGACAAATGCGTTAAGATTTCTGGCTGAGGAGCCAACGACAGACACTGCTTCCTCTGCAGCCTTCTTCCAGTTGAAAGCGTTTTGCTTCAACTCTTGTGCTTTTGGCCCTATTGTTGCTTCCAATATGCACTTCTTCACCTCATCTCTGCTTATCACTTTCTTCTCAGCCTGCCCATAACCCACTCTAATCCCCACACCATACACATCCACCAAGAACTTTGCATTTGTGACTTGATCTCCCCATGCTGGAAATGTCAACATTGGCACTCCATAACTCAGTGCTTCCATCGAAGAGTTCCATCCACAATGTGTCATAAAACATGCCACTGAAGGATGAGCCAACACTTCCTCTTGTGGGCTCCACTGCACCACTTTGCCTTTCTCTCTTGTTTCCTCAAGGAATCCACTTGGCAGAACATGAGGGGAAACCCCAAATTCCTTAGGAGGTGGCTTTAACACCCACAAAAATGAGACATGAGAGTTCAATAGTCCATATGCTATTTCACTCACTTGCTCTTGAGGCAAGTACACTATACTCCCAAAGGAGATATACACCACTGATTCTGGTGCCCTTGAGTTGAGCCACTCTATGCAATCATCACTCTTCATAAAATCTCCACGTATATCTCTTGTGGATGGATCTTTTGGGATCTTGAACAAAGGACCAACAGGCCTTATAACCAAAAACTTTGAAAGATACTCGATGTAGTCATGCTCTAGTTCCTCAAAACTATCCACCAACACGCAGAACGGTGTGGACAAGTTCTTAAACTGTTCCAATATGAGTGTCCCGAAAATTGGATATGGACTAAACGGATGCAGAAAATCTGGAACTTCATTGTATTTGAGGACTACAGAAGGCAAGTGAACATCAATATAAGGATCTGCATCTGAAGGGAAACTTACCAGTTTGTGGAAATAGCTATAGTAAGCGGTGAAGACAGCACTAGATTGAATCCATAGCATGGCAGAAGGAACAGCATGTTGAGCAGCCACATCACAAACCCATGGAACAAAGGGGTTGTTTATGATGCATGAAATTGGATGGTTTTCCTCAGCATGCTTCTTGATCACTTGGGAAACATATTGCTTCCCAACAAGCTCAAGCTGTGCACAGTGCTCACTGAGACTTATCTTCTTGGTACCATCACCCTCCATGCCATCTTCGAAGAATTGGAACTTGAGAAAACCATCACCAACTGGAATCACTGAGTCCTCAGTGATATTGTTAGCGGTTCGCATGTGTTTACCAGCGCTCTCTGCGGTGGTGAAGGTTAGAAATAAGCCCTTTGCAGCAAGGCACTTGGCAAGTCTAAGCAAAGGGTTTATGTGTCCCTGAGCTGGAAAAGACACCATGAGGACGTGAATCGAAGTTTCAGACCCCATTTTCGTTAACTCGATGCCTTTGATTTGGGATGTATATTATAGTACTTAAATATTATTAAATAATGTGCCATGAGGATATTCTTTACATACCACACATGACGTTATCATCGTGGATCGTGTGACACCATAAGAAAAGGAATTATATTGTTCAGCACTCAATTTATGATGCATGCTTTCTTTTTATACCAGTGTATATATAGAGGATGTCAAGGGTTAAAGAAATTAATTTAAATTGATGAGTTTAATTTTCATGTATCTGTAATGTAAATATTTTTTATTTTATAATTTAATCATAAATTACTGTGTATAATTTTAATCTTTATATTTTTTAATCTTTATATTTTTTTAATCTTTATAATTTAATATAAATCTAAATAATTTTTATACTTGCCAATTTTTAATCTTTTTAATTTATATCATTAATTTTTTATAACGTAATTTGTTAACGTATTAGAGATTTTCAATTTTAAGAGAGTAAAAAAATGATATTTCAATAATAGATATTAGTAAAAACAATGTTAAAAATAATTAAAATAATTAAAAAATTATAAGTATAAGAACTAAAATTATTTATCTTAAACTATAAAAAATTAAACTATAAAAATTAAAAAAATATATATTTTAAATTATAGAGATTAAAATGTAAAATAAATAAAATATAAAAACTAAAATAATATTTTAAGCTTATCATAATTATTTTCAAAGTTTCCGAAACAAGATAAAAATATTAAATTCAAGAATGATATAAAAAGAGAACATAAGAGAGACAGAGAGAAAATAATAAACAATATAAATGACATAGTAAAAAAAAAAAAGAAATTTAGAAAGATATAAATTAAATTTAAATTTTGACATATGCATAATAATGGATAATAGGTATACCGATTATTATACTTATATATTCATTTACTCTTTTCTTTCATTTTTAATTTGTTTTTTTGATCAATCAGCTTCACTTACTTTTATTATTTTATGTCTGTACTTACTTATTACGCTTATTATTTATGTCTTTTTCCTTTTTTCCCATTAAAAAAAAGTAAAATAAGTAAAATAAATAAATAAATTTTTATCTAAAATATAAGGAAAATTCAATCATCAACTTCATTTAATATTTTTAATTCAAAAATACTCATAAGACAATAAATAAGACCACTAATTATTATAGGTGTGGTTGGGAATGTTTTAGAAAATGTAGGAGTAAACACTTAATTTGGTTCTTAAAAGATAATAGAGGTAGTCGATCGGTTTCTGAAAAAACTTTGTGGCATCTAAGATCCAAAATTTTAACTCTATTATACAAGTTCTTCCGTTATACTCAAATACTAACTCTGTTAGTTTGTTGATCAGTTAAGTAACAAGTTGACACTTATTCTCTCTTCTAGTTAGTTATTCTTTGTCTTAATCACCTAATATGAATCATAATGTAAGATTTTGGTACTTTCTAATTAGCAACGGACACTTTATTATGTTTAAATATACTAGTCATGGGTGTCAGTTAAAATGAAAGATTTTGTTGGACCTCGTCAAATTTTCTGTAGTTGAATTTTTCTATCACAATAATCCTTAATTTCTTCATCTGTTATGATTATAGATTCATTATTATAAAAGCTAAATTATTGAATTTGGAGTTTAGCAAAATGAGTGATTGTTCTAAAAGATCTCAAGTAAGAATCCATCAATCGAATATGGATGTTTCTACTATGTTTAATGAACCACAAAACTCTTTTGGTAGAAGTGAGAAAGATCTTAGTGGTAATGGTTCTATCTGTAACATTGTAAAAAAAAAAAAAAAAAAAAAAAAAGGCAAGAGGGTAACTCTGACACTAGGGCCAAAACTCCTCATCTTGCAGCGGTCACCTCAACTCTAAGCTAGCCCTGACCTGCTCCCATACCAAGTATGATCATCGCAGTCCCACCACATGGAAACAGAAGGGTAAGCTAGAGTTCAATAAACAATCATACAAGTATAGAACAAAATCTATACTACATATTCAACTAATCAAGTTCTAAAGGAACTCCCATCTCAATCAATCATCAATTCATCAAACATGAAGTCACGCCACACACTTCATCATAACCATAATCATGCAATAACATGCAACTCATGACAGATATCAATGCATATCAATCATCTAATGCATCGTAACGCATACACCTAGGAGATCTCTCTAACAGTAGAGCAGTATAAGTGACATCCCAATCTTACCGAAATCACCCCAACCGTTTTCATGCCCAATGCACCCGCTCGGTCACAGCTAAACAGGATATAAATCCTCACTCGGGTTTACTCGGATGATGTCACTTACACAATTGAAAGTCCATATCCACCGTCAGGTATAGCACAACTGGGTACAGGCTTACTACGACCTTGGCATGCATTACCAAGTCACTTGTGGAGTTCGCCCACCGCCCATCCGCAAGGATCCACACACCTTTCCCAGTACTTGGTTAAGGGAATAACCCTCGACCTCATACTCTGCTCCAACACTAGCTAAGGACTTAGAGGAGACTCACCCAACCCAGTGGCCTACCTGAGCACTACCTGAACACCACTCTCGCCCAAATCTAGTGGCCTACTTGAGCACCACTCTCATATATCAATGTCTTATCCAAGCACCACTCTCAAGAGACTCTATGTGAGCTCTTCCAATTTGAAAACATTTTCCCTCTCCTCAAGTCCTAGGCTAGACTCATGCCATAAGGCATCACATGCAATTATGCATCACACATCATACATGGTCTACCCACCATCATGATCAATAATCATACTCATGCCATAAGGCATCATACATCATACATGATCTATCCACCATCATGATCAATAATCATACTCATGCCATCACATGCAATAATGCATCATACATCATACATGGTCTACCCACCATCATGATCAATAATCATACTCATATGAACATATACTCATGCCATATCATATTTAAACATTCATATATATCATTACCAAGCATACATATGAATCACACCTCACCATACATCATATATCATACATACATGATCCAAAACTTCAACTTAACATGCATTAGCATCATTTCATTCATAAACATGTTCACGCCCAGCGCAGCCTAAGCGCACCCAGCCTAATCTCAACCCAAAAGTCCTAAAACTCATCCACGCTCGACACGTTCAACTTACGTCCGAAATCCTTGAGACAGAGACTCCTAAGAGTCTCCATGCCTAACGCACCCACCCTACGCCCAGCGTGCTCCAAACAGAGAAAAAACATTTATGCATATGATGCATGTCAATCAAGACTCCATGCTTTTCTCATATCACATTTTCATGTCTCATTCCCATATCACATTATCATGTCTCAACACATCTCATCATCACATCTCTGCATTACATTTCATCATCACATCTCCTCATTACATTTCATCATCACATCTCCTCATTACATTTCATCATCACATTCGCATTATCACATCATATTCACAATTTTCATAGAGCACTTTTATTCATATCAGAACTCATCTATTTGCGAAAGTAAACATATATTCATACATATCATTCTATTATTGTGGAATATAAGAATGAGAGTCGGTAGAAATAAATATGTCATTCAATCATCACTTTAGTTATTTTTAAATTAAAAAAATTTAAATCTTACTTTATCACGTGTCTAAATTTACTTAATTTGTAACTTTTGCACAATAGTTGGGAGAGAGAATACGTGTGGCAATTAATTGTTGATAGGTCATAAGACCAAGAGTTAATAATTGAGTACAATAGCTACATTAATTAACTTACATAAGAGTGTGTTTGGATGAGAAATTTAAATGAAGTAATTCAATTATTTGAAGGATTTCAAATTCGTTGAGGAGAAATATTTTATTTGGATGGAGAATTTATAAAGATTTTGAAATTCAAGTATTTGTGAAATTCTTTAAAATAGTAGATTTTCAAATTTTCTCAAAAAAGTAGGAATTTAGAATTTCTCATATTTTTTTTTCTTATTTCACTTATATATTTCATCTTATCTCTCATCTCTTCATGCTTTTAATTATTGAATATTTTTAAATATTTTTAAATTATTAAATATTATTTAATATTACTTTAAAATAATTAAATATTTAAAAATTGGCTAATATTTATTTTTATAAAATTTAATTTTAAAATATAAGCATATAAATATATTTTAAAAATCAATTTTACCATAGTAGAACTAAATTGTCACATCCAAACAAACAATTTAAAATCTAAGAAATTTGAATTGACTTATCCAAAAAAATACTTTAAGAATGATGAAAATTGAAAACAAAATACTTCAAATACCAAAAATTTCAATTTCCTTCAATTTATAAAATTCTTCATCCAAACACATCATAAAGAAGTTAAAATTTAGGAATCTAGATGTTAAATTTTTTTTTTGAAAAACTAAATTGAGTGTTTTACTCGAAAATGTAGTGTATCATAAAAAAGATTGTTGCATATTTTATGCAAAATTTTGAAAATTAAATACATTTAGTTAACTTTTTAATTCATGTAAAAAAAAAAAGAATTTGCTTAAATATAAAAATTCATAGGAAGTATGATTTATACTACTACTTCATGTCACCAATAACATATCTTAAAGTGACAGATCGAGAAATTTATATAATGTCGATCGAGTTTAATATGATATTTTCACTAATAAAAATAATAATAGGTAGATTTTCTGTAACAATATTTAATTTTTTAACAATATTTAAATATAAAAGACAAACAACTTTTTTTTTTAAAATCATAGACTAAAAAGACTAATTTTAAATTTGAAAGACAAAAAATAAATTTACCTTAAATTTAAAAAACTAAAAATATATTTAAATCTTATAATATTAATATAATTAAATAGTTGATAATTGATTTAAAGTTATTTCTAATTAATTAACAATGTGATTTTTTTTTACATCGGTAGTGTTTTCAAACTAGACACAAGTAATTAAAAATAATTATTATAATAATAAAAATTATATTTTAATTATAAACTACTAAAATATGTAAGGCGGTATTTAATTAGTTGGTTGTAAAAAGAATTACATTTAATGCAAAGAACATAGATCAAATTAATGACATATGATTCTTCAAGTCTAACAAGTGGTTGTATTTAAGTGTTAAATATGCGATTGTATTAAATATTAAAAAAATTGTTAACCCATAATAGTTATATATATTAAACTTAAATATGATTGTTTCTCATTATGAATACATATCTACACAACAAAAATATATACATTAATAATGTACCAAAATCAAACTCAATTGATTAAAAATATATTATTTATTAAGAAAATATCTAAGATATGCATCATAAAATATGAAAATACGTAAGTATACGTAAAGAAAAGTATATATTAAAATGATCTTATATGTAATAATAATAATAATAATTTACTTGAAAATAATATCTATCAAGCAAATAACTAGTTAGCAAAACATTGATCACGTAAATTAAGTAACACGAAATTGTTTTATCTTAACGTATTCTCTTTGAGTTAAAAAATAAAATAAAATAAAATAAAATAAAGACAGTTAACTAGAAGACATCCTTCGCAGAATTTTTCTTTAAAAAAAATGTCAGAATATTGTAGATACAAATGTTTAAACAATTTGCCGGTGGTTCATAACTAAAAAATTGTGACCTCATTACCGTATTAGGGTTAAAACCAGCCCGTTCTCTACATACAAATATTTACAAAAGAATTTTTTTCATATTTAGTTATGTACTGGAAACTTGATTTCAGAATTTGTATAAAATCATATGTTACTTTCATTTATTCAAAATCCTGTATTCTGAAAATGTTTTGCCACTGGTAATATATATATATATGTAAAGGTTGTGTGGCAGTAATTATATTTGTTTTGTTTATGCATAATTTTATGTATGAACTAACAAAAGATGGAAAAGATGTCTTTGGTTCCATCATTTTAAATTTATTTGATAGCGATCGATTTATATCTCTTAATGAATAAAATAAAAATCAAATTTATTTACGAGTTTGCATAGTTTCAACCCGAACTTTTCAGTACCTAACCAACCACCGTACACACCATACACCTTCACCTTCACTACCCTCGTTGTATCTATCTGCGTATATATATATTTTTTTGGATGTAGGTGGAGAGAATTGAAAAGGTATACATATCAACCATGATTTTTCATATGTCAGTCCTTACATGTAATCTTATCATATATTTTGTTTATTATAGATAGGTGCTTGTCTGAGGAGTGGTTGAATAAAGTAGTATAAGAATTTGACCAAAAGGCAAGCAGAATGGTTGTTTGGTACATGAAGTGTGCACGATAATACTAAAAACTATTCGGTGTGTGTTTGAATTTCAGTTGAAAAAGTTAAGTTTAGTTCAACATAATTTTGTAAACTTAAATTTAGTTAAAAGTAAGTTTAAAATAACTTGATTTATGTTTGGATACTTTTATTTCATAAGTACTTTGTTAAAATAAAAGTTGTTTGAATAATATTAATGAAAAATACTAAAATAAATATATATTTTATAATGATATTAATATTGTTTATTTTTTTATTTAGTATATTTGAATTGATAAAAAAAATTTATTGTTATTATTTTATATTTTGATATTAATATTATTAATCAAATTTATTTTTAATAATTTTTTGTTATTAAAAAAAATTAAATAAAAATGAATACAAGATTTAATTAAGTATAATAGAATATATAAAAGAAAAATACAATAATTAATTGTATATACTCCAAAATAAAATACAAGATAGAAAAATTAAGAAATGAAAACTTTTCGTTCAACGAAATATTGCTTTGAATGTAACATACGTTTTAAAGATAATAAAATTAAAAAAAAAATTACCAAACAAACAGATACAGCTAACTAAACCTCCGTTTGGGTGCCTAGACGGCAAACCAAACATACCCTGAGTCGTTCCACTTGCACATTATTTAATCTTAGGGTGGTAAGAAAAAAAACATTGAAGGAAGAAGAAAATGGGGTCTGGATCTCCCATTCACGTCCTCATGGTGTCCTATCCAGCACAAGGACACATAAACCCTTTGCTTAGACTAGCCAAGTGCCTAGCTGCAAAGGGCTTATTTGTAACCTTCACCACCTCAGAGATCGCTGGAAAACACATGCGATCCGCTAACAACATCACTGAGAAATCAGTGATTCCAATTGGTGATGGTTTTCTCAAGTTCGATTTCTTTGCAGATGCCACGGCAAGTGATGGTACCAAGAAGCTAAGTCTCACTGAGCACTGTGCACAGCTTGAGCTTGTTGTGAAGCAATATGTTTCCCAAGTGATCAAGAAGCATGCTGAGGAAAACCATCCAATTTCATGCATCATAAACAACCCCTTTGTTCCATGGGTTTGTGATGTGGCTGCTCAACATGCTGTTCCTTCTGCCATGCTATGGATTCAATCTAGTGCTGTCTTCACCACTTACTATAGCTATTTCCACAAACTGGTAAGTTTCCCTTCAGATGCAGATCCTTATATTGATGTTCACTTGCCTTCTGTAGTCCTTAAATACAATGAAGTTCCAGATTTTCTGCATCCGTTTAGTCCATATCCAATTTTCGGGACACTCATATTGGAACAGTTTAAGAACTTGTCCACACCGTTCTGCGTGTTGGTGGATAGTTTTGAGGAACTAGAGCATGACTACATCGAGTATCTTTCAAAGTTTTTGGTTATAAGGCCTGTTGGTCCTTTGTTCAAGATCCCAAAAGATCCATCCACAAGAGATATACGTGGAGATTTTATGAAGAGTGATGATTGCATAGAGTGGCTCAACTCAAGGGCACCAGAATCAGTGGTGTATATCTCCTTTGGGAGTATAGTGTACTTGCCTCAAGAGCAAGTGAGTGAAATAGCATATGGACTATTGAACTCTCATGTCTCATTTTTGTGGGTGTTAAAGCCACCTCCTAAGGAATTTGGGGTTTCCCCTCATGTTCTGCCAAGTGGATTCCTTGAGGAAACAAGAGAGAAAGGCAAAGTGGTGCAGTGGAGCCCACAAGAGGAAGTGTTGGGACATCCTTCAGTGACATGTTTTATGACACATTGTGGATGGAACTCTTCGATGGAAGCACTGAGTTATGGAGTGCCAATGTTGACATTTCCAGCATGGGGAGATCAAGTCACAAATGCAAAGTTCTTGGTGGATGTGTATGGTGTGGGGATTAGAGTGGGTTATGGGCAGGCTGAGAAGAAAGTGATAAGCAGAGATGAGGTGAAGAAGTGCATATTGGAAGCAACAATAGGGCCAAAAGCACAAGAGTTGAAGCAAAACGCTTTCAACTGGAAGAAGGCTGCAGAGGAAGCAGTGGCTGTCGGTGGCTCTTCTACAAGAAACCTTGATGCATTTGTCAAAGATATTAAAGAACGTGGAGCAAAGGAAATATAAGGGTACCTCTATGTCCCTTCATAACATTGTTGCAGAGAATAGAAAAATCAAATGCGAGTAGCTCCGTCTTAACTATCTCTACTACTCTTCCAACTTGCAGCATCTGTATTTCTGAAACCATACTAAATGTTCTGCAACATAGATATAGTATGATTTATAAAATGTCTCAAAACAATTAAAGTCGTGAGATGTAACTTGTTTTAGCAAGTGTATATCATTTATGCTTGAATCTACGTTGATAAAATTATTTTTGGATATGAAAAATATTCAACGTATACCACTTCGAAAATGGTTTTAATAATTATAAATGTAATCTTAGTCTATAGTTAAAAGTTGAACAGGTGGCAGTCGCAGAAAATGAAGCGCTTAATTATCAGCTTCTCCTTAAATTAAATAGTCAACATCTCCTTTAACGTGTTTGTCTTGGCTGCTTCCGTTGATTTAGTACTTTGTTTCCTATTAATTAATGTCACACACGCCTCCTTGCTTTAATTTACTTCACCATATTTATGCATTACACATAGCCACAAATAATGCTTTTCAATATATAAATGACCTATTAAAATAATAATGAATTAAGAAATTAAGATAGTTTAGTTTATTAAAGTTTATTTATTGATAATACAAATATTAATAAACATGATTTTTTATTTTTTATTGCTGAAAATTCTAAAAAAATATTTAGTCAATGGAATATTATTACAATAATGAGTATAAATATCTAATTAAGCTTAATATTAACCAGAGTAATTTTGGTATTGATTAACAAATTAAGAAAAGTGTAATTTCACTTTATTAAATACTAATTTAAAAAGAAACAAATTATTTTGATATGTACGAGTTTTAAAGCATGTATAATATATAATGAGAAACACACATATATAAAATTATAAGAAAAATATGCAAACTATTTCTCATGACTGTTGTTTTTTTTCTTTCTTTCTCTTCCTATGTTTTTTTCCCTTAATTTCACTGCAACCAAACATGGCATGAAAAAGATAAATAGACAATGACTAGGAAAAAAATATTGAATTTCCGACCACAGCCGTACGTGCAATCAAATCACCCAAGAGACGTACACGATCCTTCCATTCAAGAGTCTTCAAGAAATTGATGGCAACAAATTAAAAAATGACTAATTGGTGCACAGTTTTATTATATTTTAATTTTAATCAAAATATGTTTACTTAATTTCTACTTGTTTCATTTCAGCTAATTGGGATAATCTTATATTAAGTTAAATGTTTACAAACGTAATAAGGAAATTAACTAAAATTTAAAGCAAATTTTTTTAATACAAATACAATACGATATTCGATATTAATGCACTAAGAAAAAAATATCATATAGATACACACATATTATAGTAACATAAAAATTATCATTAAAAATTATTTTTATTTATAAAATAAATATAATATATATTAGTATATTAATAAAAAAATATAAATATAACTTATAATGACATAAAATATATTATTCAATATCATTCAAAATTAATACTAAAATTATGTGCAACTATATGTTAAGTAGATATATACTTAAGTATATTATATTTATAATAACATATTTTATATGTAATTATATATAACATTTCTTATAGTCACAATGAGTTTTTACTACTTTTATAAGCAAAAATAATATATGATTTTATTCTATATAACTTTTAATGCATTTTTAATTAAAATTTATTGTTCAATTATTAATTCATATTCTTAAAATATTAAATTAGAATATTGGTCAATAAAAAACTTAAACGAGTTTTAAATTTCTTAAATACTAATAGTTCTTCAAAAAAAATAAAAAAAAATGATACATAATAGTTTGGCTAAAAAAATTAAATTCTCCAAAGTGAGTAAAATACATAAGTGTGATAATAACTATTATTTATAAAAAAATTTTGAAAAATTAATTAACTTTAAAATTTATTATGTGTGTATTTGCTTTTTTCATAACTCTCTACCATTAATTAGAATTGATAGATAACTAAGTGAGTTCTTTTAGCCTGTTGTTCTCATTTCTCAAAGGTTTGATAATTCCTATAGTCATGCCCATGTGTATAAAGAGAGAGACTTCAATGATTTTTAGGTCTTAGAAAAAATTAGCCTTCCACTATTGTCAAGAATACCCTTATTGCGAACCAAAAAGAAATTAGAAAATAGCTATCATGAGTATATTTTATAAGAAGCAAATCCAAGAAAATATTGTTAATCATATCAAATATAATTATGTACGAAGACGAAGAGTGATGATAAATATTCTTTCTAACATACGATTTTTACTAATTAAAGTTTATTAAAATCTATAAAATTATGAGTTGAATTCGTTAAATAAAACATGAAATCTTCATAATTGTATGATTTATACGGAAAATGTTATTAATAAGATCGTCCCACCATTAGTTTTGGTGTTTTGTTTCTGTTTTTTAGCTTCTTTTTCTTTCTCCAAATGTAAAAAAAAAATAAAAAATGATGAGAGCATTGTATTTCTCAATCATTAATTCTATTGGGGAATAAAAACAATGACACAACTCCAAAGTCCAAACAGAAAGCGATCTTACATCCAATACCAGACAAGACACCAAAGAAAGTTGTTTCTGACTCAACAGATAAGAGTGAGTGAGTATATGCTTGGTTTTAGAAAATATTTTTAATTTTTTAAAAAATATTTTTCATTTTTATATTTAAAATTTCAAAATATATGTTTAATTTAATTATTTTTAATAAAATTTTAAAAAATATATAAATTAATATAGGCTAAGTTGCTTTTTTTATCAGTAATTTTAGTTATTCTATTTTATAATAAAATATTTAATTCTTTTATTTTTTTAAATATGAAATTTTGGTATAACATGGATACATTTTTCGATAATTTAAAATCGTCAAAAAAATGTGAAATAAGAAAAATAAAGCTGTATATTAGGACAATTTAAAATTATAAAAAATATTGAATCAAACAAAATTCAAATACATTTTGTAGGAATTTAAAATCGTCACAAATTAACTGATTTGTTTTTTGACACCGACAAACAACACTTAAAAGATGACCGTATAACAATTAGTGAATTTTTGACATATGACTTTTTTTTAATCTTTTTTAAATATAAAAAAAAAAAAGACAACATGACAACTAGCATTAAATGTAGATAAAACTATAATGGTATAAGAATAAATTAAATTTCAAAATAAATTATTTCCAATTATCTTAAAATAACATATATTTAAGATAATGATAATATATAAATAAATATATATATATATATATATATATATATATATTTCAATTTCAGATATAAATAACAATAATATCGATTTAAGTTAATCACGTTGTATGGATTAAAAATTTCTTTTGTTTTATAATTTGTTTCATGTTTATTTAAATTTAATCATAAAATCTAATAAATTAAAATATATAAAAGTATTTTAAAAAAATAAAATTATACAACTACAAAAACATTGTCATTTAGTGGTACATCCTATATTTACACAATATTTATTTAAATGTTTTTTACCTACACTATAAATAAAATATATGTTGGTATATTGTTAAAAAAATATAGGTATAAGTTATAATGGTACATAATATATGTCCATGAATTTCATTCAAAATCAATACCAAAGAAGCTATTGAATTGTGATTTCATAAAACTTTTTTAGTAAAAAAAATCTTATGAATTTTAGAAGACTTTGTAGTAATTTAATAACTTTTAAATTTTTAATTTTTTTTGTAGGAATACAATTTACTAAATTTCAATAATTAAAATTTTTTAACAATATATAATACTTAATAATAAAAAAAATTAATTTTAAATATTTATTAATTAAAAAAATAAAAATATTAATAAATTATACATCAATAATATTGGTAGATAAAAAAGAAAAATAGGATAAAAAAATAGAGAGAAGAAGAAAAGGAAGAAATAAATGATAGAAATAAACAAAACAAGAAAGAAAATATGAGATAGAAAATACCTTAGAAGAGAGAGGAAGGGGAAGGAGAGAGAGAGAGGAAGAGGAAGAGGAAAAAGAAAAAGAAAAAAAAAGATAAGGGAGAAAAAAGGAAAAATAAATTAGAGAAAAAAAAATTATACGCAAATCTTAAAATTTTGGTGAGATTATTAGATGGATAAATTATATAAAAATTATACTAAAAAATCTCATAAAATCTATTATTTAAATTAATTAATTAATTTTTTTTAAATCAACATATTTTTTAAGTAAAAATATTAATTAAACATTATTAAATTATTATATATTCTTAAAAAAATATTGTTTTTCAATATAGTACTAGATTTTAATATAGTATTAAAAAATTAATTATCTTAATTGAATATCACATAATTTTTTAATTAAAAAAATTAATTGAATATCACAATACATTTTTATAATATAAAATTTAAAATCTTCTATAGTTTTAATCCAATACACTTTTCTTAAATTTTAAAATTAATAAAAGTATTTTTTATTAAGTTATTAAATAATATAAAATATTAAACCAATGTCAAGATAAATCTGTTGTTTCAATTGTTTAATGTTTAAGCTTTTATACAAATAACCAATAAGATCTAACATAATTAATTATGTTTGTAAAAAAAATTTATTAAAAGAAACAAGAGTTACATCGATAATTTTTAGACTTTAAAATAAATTTAGTTTTTGATTATCGACTGAGTTAATATAAAAGAAAAAAATAATTTTTATTACAAATATATTATTCTCATATAGAAATTAGACAACTACTTAGTATATAAGTGAAAAACAATACTTAACTTACTAGGTGATTTTATAAGGTTGAATTATGTTTAAATCTTTTATTTTAAGAAAAAAAAAGGACTAAAATCTTACTAAGATATAATATTTGAGTTTTTTTTTTTTTCTCATAACCATGTTTCACGTAATGTTTTAAATATAAGGATTAAAGACTAATATGTGTAAATATAAGAATGAAACAAACATGACTTGAGCTTGCGAAGCATTATGTTGGAGATTGGACGATGACGGCTTTGTTGCGACGCGTGGGAGAGGAATATTAATCCTTGGTGTTGGAGTATAGATAAGGGTCCGTTTCATTTTACTTTTTTTTATTATCATTTTTAAAGAATTATCAGATACTTTTTCTCCATCTCACCTCTCTGTCTGTTTTTGGCAAATCAGTATCAGTTCATAACTACACATGCTTCCTATTTTTTCTCATATATCTACAAAACGGCTCCTTATTATTTCGTATATTCTTT